TCAGGGTTTGCTGCGTCCTATCCCGAACTCCTTCGCCCACAACGTCAGGTTTCTCTCTGCGGGGGAGGGTGCTGTTGCTTGTTCCCGTCGCGTTTCTTCGTTCTTGAACCAGCGTCCGCACTGGGGCCTTGAGTTGCGTCCAGCACCCTCTTCTAGCAGCTTGCTAAAAGGCCTGTAGCACTGTAGCATTTTGTAATATGCTCTACCAATGGGTCAGCTCCTTCCATGCTCTTTCGCTTCTAACGCTTTTTGTCACGTGCTCTTGCCGCCGACCTTGGGGTTGTAGCTGTGGGATGCTGTGGGGTATGTGGGGTCGCAGGGAAGTCTGCTCTTGCTGAGGTGAAGGACCCTTCTTCCGGGCAAAGCTATTGGTGGAACAAGGAGACGAATCAGGTCCCTCCGTGTCTCTGGAAGAGCTTCGGTGGTTCGAATTAGCTGAACGGGTGAGAGTCGCTTTCCGGCCGATTCAATCCAGCCTGGCCTATGTCATCTGGCACTCCTTGAAAGTTGAGTTCTTGAGTTCCTTCAGGCAAAGCCGCAGCCTCAAAAACGAACGCAAACAACGCAAACACAATCAAAGGACAGGACAGGCCACCAACTTGTGTAGTTCCTTGCGGCTCCGTGCAGACGACAGCCGTGGGCGCGCCGAAGCCCAGCGCCGTTGCTCCGCAGCCGGAGGCCAGGCTGGTCGGTGCAGGACTCCAAAGACCAGCGCCACTCTCAAGCTCTTCCTGTCGCCAGGCAGGAGTGCCTGTCTGGGCCCCAGCTCGAGGACCCTGGGACACGGTGTGTCGCATTGAGCTCCATAGGCCGCTGGGGGGCTTGGCGGTGGCTTGCGGGGTGCGCTGATGGACGGTGCGCCCTGCTCTGCGAGAAGCTATTCAAGAGGTTTATCAACGACTTAAGCTTGTGCATGCAGGCTTAGCATGGGGCGTTGGTACGTCGGTCGCCAGCCGGATGATGGACCCGACAATATGCTGTACCTGGCAATGAGCCTTCTCATGCTGTGCGATGCTGTGCCTGAGCGCCTTGCTGCGGTGAGGACGGCATCCTGGGCCCGCGGCAAATGGAAGTCGTGCACAGGCGCACCGGCACACGTGACAGGGGATCTGCAGAGGCTCTCGGGGAGACCCAAGTCACTTAATTAGCGTTAAAGCCATCTGAAATCCCTTTCATTCACCATTGTCCAAGGCAGGATTTAGTTAGCAGAGTGTGGGGAAGCCTTCAGATTCATCGGCGAGGGCAAGCGGAGGGCTTCGTCTGGGCATGCATGTATACTTAATCTGCGCTCTGTAAAAACAACATCGCTTAAGTAAGTCTCTTCAGATGAAAGAGGAATGCGCGTGATTTCATGCACATGGGCGGCCAAAGTCTCATGTGAGTCTGAGGGGAGGTCTCCAATGTGGGCCTGGCAGTAGCCGTGCGGATTATCCGCGGAAGCTCAACGTTCGTATTGCGACCTTGACTAAAGTTTTCCATCAGTTATTGCACATGGTAAACCTTGACTCCCGGAGGCTTGGGCGGACTCTAGCAAGTTGTTTTGAATTGCAAACATGCGCGACAAAGATGGCTGCCCATATCTGCCCATGTGCTTTTGAGGAAATCGATGGAAAGAATGATAGGTACGCAAACAAACAACAAGTGAGTACATAAGCAAGTGAAAAACACACACCAGCAGATAAGTAAAATGTCACTAAGCAAACACTTGCATAATTAAAAAGGTATTCAATGAGAAGCACACATACCTACTTACGTACACACGTACATACGTACATGCGTACATGCATGCATGAGTACGTACGTTCATACGTACATGCGTACATACAGGTACGCATACGTACATACACATAGGTACATACGCATACATACATAATTACATACATACATGCATACATAAATACATGCATACATAAATACATACATACATGCGTGGATACATTCATACATTTCTACGTTTCAACTTATTTGTTTTGTATGTGTTTATACATGTAATCATGCATGGGTAAGTAATATGTATGTACGTGTTATATGTACGTATGTACGTATGTATGTATGTATGTATGCTGGCACTTTATGTTTATACGGAGACCGGAGTTGGCTCTTTTAAACTAGTGTTGCTGCAGGGGTGCTGTAATCCACAGCATGCATCCATGAGATGCCGATCCTCGGATTGCCCATGCCTATCGCATCGCGAAGACCTCTTTGCGGCGGTTGAAGAAGTATGTATGTATGTATGTATGTATGTATGTATGTATGTATGTACGTGTAGATGTTTGTAGGTATACGCACATACGTTGGAAATCTGTTCCGGGGTGTTTCGGTGATATCTTGGACAGCAAGCGTGCACGAATCTGCTTCGGCTGAATTGCTGCCCACAGGAATGAGGATGGCGGCTCGGCCCCGTCCGGCGGTGATGTTACCAGCTCAGCAAACTACCACGAAGCACTTCCAGTGGTATTTCGGGATTCGGTTTGGGCGACGCAGAAACTTCAAATCACTTTCGTGTCGCGACCATGCTGCCTTCCAGCAGTTGCGAAAGAAGTGTAGCCGCATCTGTTCCTGACACAGCATGCTGGTCACAAAGGCCGCATCGCCTCCTCCTCCAGGATCTGCAGGAGACTCGGGAGGCCTGTCCCGATGTGCACTGTTTCACGCTGCTATGGTTGATCCCTCTTCAAGGATTCCGGTCCCTCATCCTTCGATGAAAACCCCGCGACAGCTGAAGCGGCATTGTTAGGGCTTGTACATTGCCTCTCCGAAGCAGCTTTAGACCAATTTTTCCTTTGTAATTATCTGCCCTAAATTCCACTTGCTGTGCCGGCGTGTTGTATGGCTTGCATATGGCTTGCCTGGCCTGCCCACCCTGGCCCCCTTCTTCCTGTCCTCGCTCGCACAGGGTGGTCCTGGGGCGATGCTGGCTCCAGTGCGAGCCTGAGAAGGAGTGTTAAGGAGTGCAGAGAAAGTGGAGCTACACGGGTGGTTGTAAACTAACTTTTCCCCAATTCAATCAAAAACCTTGTAGTGGCCACAAGAGCGACGACAAGCATGCCACCCAAGCCTGTGCACCATGGCTGGCCTCTTCCCTCCCGCTTGGCATCCCGCTGAGAGTACCATTGCAGTTGCCCGTGTTATCGGCGTATTCCGCCATGGTGATCCAGGGCCTTGCCGTTTGTCTTCCTGCAGTCTCGCTTTCACTCGTGTTCCTAGCTAAGTGCAGAAGATAGTACGAGGACTGGCCGCCCTCACCCGCCACGGCCCCCATCTGCCCTCATCGCTCATCGCCCCACCCCCCTGCCTCACCTCGCTCACCCGCGCACCCCCCGCCCCTCACCGCCCTCGCCCCTTTCTTGCAAAAGCTACCAGTATACATCCTAAAAGCTGCGGCCACGCACAACATCGCCGTGCGCGGGCGATCTGAGTGCTTATGATGCTCGCCGGATGCCCTCGTGGGGTCGTTTACAGTAGGCGCCCCGAAGCCTGCCATACCGTGGGGAACAGCCGAAAAATGCGTGCGTTAGAGTTGGCGGGTGAGCCTCCAAGCGAGGGCGCACGGCCCCGTGGAAAAGCGCAGGGTCGCGGCACTCTCGCTCCCAGTTACAGGTAGGCTGGACAGTGCCAGTTGCCCGAAGCATTACCCTAAGTAGCATTAATCCTTGGGGTGACTGCACGTGCACGGGCGCAGTCGAAGACACAAAGGACCACACGCTGAGGCAGCTGAACTGATTGGGTTCTCCCGACCCAGACCGTTACATCTCTTGCCATGCAGCTGTCCTTTTTGGATCTTGACCTCTTTGCGGGGGGTGGCATGTTCTTCTCGCTAAGGCAACGAGGAAGGTGGCGGTTGGCCGCTCCATCATGTTTGCTGAATACTCGGACCAGGGAGGCGAAAGTTGATCGGGAGCCTGTGATATGGACTGTGAGTGGGGGAGGAGGCTCGGCAATTTAGGGTGGAAGCTGAGCCGTCTGCTGTATTTTGTCGGGATGCGTGGGGTGTTTGCGGCTTTGGAAAGAAGAGGAATAATGTAGTCTGCTGGCAGCAGTGGCTTTGAGTCGTTGTGATAACTTGATACATGGTGCCACCCCAAGCTCTCAACATCTCATCCTGTGAATCCAAGTTCTCTGCGAAGACTAACGGACATGCTGGCCCGGTGCACAATATCCCGTACCGATGTGGCAGGCTTGGAGGAGGCACGCAGCAGTCTGCGGATTGTGGATGCCAATGTGCGCAGTTTCTCAAACCAAGCAGTTACAGTCGGACGATGCAGTTTCAGCCACTGCTGGAGATGCAGTGGGTTCGGGTATGGAGAGGACGTGAAAGTCGCGCTCCAGCATGAGGGCGGCACACCGACGAGTTTACATCATTGTGATGGTCAGGTGGCGACGACAATGGCGATGGTGGTGGGGGCGGATGGCGCGCCTCTGTGATCTGACCACTGATCGTTCGATGACATATGCAGACATGTCTGGCCCAGGTTCGGCGGTGGCGACGAGGAATGGTAGTACCTGCCACTTCCCATTGTTTCACCTTTCTCGTTTCTGCTGCCTAGAGGCGTTAAAGTCCAAGAAGAAACTTTTGCGCACGTGCTTGAACAGTAAGTACCGCCAGCTGCAGCTTCCTCTCCGAAGTTGATGAATGTCGCGACCAGCTCAATACTGACTCACATTGCTCCGTCAACATTCTCGGAGAAAATGAATACACCACAATAGACCAACGTGGAACAACCACTGTACAGGGCACGGTTCTTGTGCCAAAGCTCCGACAGAAAAAAACGCGAAAGGATGAATTGGTCATGGCTCATGTCATGTTTTGATGCACGTTCCACTCATGGCCCTCAATTCAACAATGCTGTGAAGCCTTGTCAGCTTTAGCTCCTCTTAGCAGGTGAGCCGTCAGACACTTCCATTTGTTGCTGGCACCTGCATTTCAGCACAGGCTACCCTGAACTTTCTGTCTTGCCGGTGGAGATCCCCTTGTAGCAATTGTTCTACGCAAGCAAGCCATGGTCGCTCGAGGAAAATCAAGGTTGGCAGGCCTGGTGGCTGAAACTGCAGAGAACATGGTGACGCAACGGTAGTAGTGGAATGGAATGGAATAGAATGAAGTGTTGCTAGCTGAGGCCTGGGTCTCTCACTGCTCCTGGGCGTGTACTGCACATACTTCGGCTTGGCCTTTGTTTGCGGCATTGGCCGTCCCAATGCGCCTGCGACACCACGGTCCCAGGTGGCCATGAAGGCTCGGCTCCACCTCCACTGCCCCAACAGGTTTCAAAGCCTTTGGTTCATCTTCGATGGCAGGTCGGTCCGGTGCCTGTCCAGCTGCCGTGGATGAGTGAGCCCATTGATGGCTGGACCTTCGCGGTGTACATGATGGGCCTCTTCTTGGCAGTTGCTGCTTTTGGTGCCTTCCAGGTTTGGAGGCTTATGTTCAGTGCCGGACTCGGGACGGATTGCCCAGTTGCCGTTTTGCAGGGGCCCGTGGAGTGTGAGGTTTAACGAAGGCATCGTGTCTGAGTATGCGTCCGAGGTGACGAGCTGGGAAGCTACGAGGAGATCAAATGGGGAGGTGCGCGGCCGCCCAAGGAATATGTGGAGGAGATGAAGAGGATCGAGGCTGGCTCTTGCACCGTTTCGAGTTGATCTTTGCTGCCATGCCACTGTGCTGCGAATGTCTCCGGATTCAAGGCTCGAAGAAAGCGGAGGTACCTGGACCTCAAGAGCGTGTCAACCGAGTGAGAGCCGTTCTTTTCGTTCTTGGCATGAGCATGTCGCTCATGCTGCAAGATGTTCTGCACCTGAATCGACAATGGCCCGGTTCACTGTGACAGGTAGTAGATGGTAGCACCTGGTAGTAGCTAGAAGCCCTGGATTCTCTGCAGTTGTATTTAAGCGAATTTGCGGTTCGGTTATTCGATACCCGATGCACCTTAGTCCTCTGGGCATTGCGCATGAAGCTTGTGAGTGGTCGCCCTTCCGCGAAGTTTACGTTCAATATGCTGCTTCGGCACCAGTGAGGAAGCTGCAGCCCTCGCAAGCAACAGCATGCTTATAACTTGCAACGTTGCGTGGACAAAGGGGCCAGCCACACACGGCAATTTTCATCCTCGCTCTCACATCACCATACCGTACGACACACGCTCGTGTTCCAAAATACCTTGCTTGCCCACTGTTATGCCGGTAGAGGTGTGTGTGTGTGTGTGTGTCGGAACGAAGCAGGTGCTTGTAGGTCCCGGCACCGGGTCACAGCAGGAGAAGCAGAAGTGCAACAACACGCAGCTGTTTTGCAAGGATGTACAGATGTAAATGTGGAGTCGACGGTCATGCTTCGGCCGAGCCGTGTGGAGGACAGCAGCCCTGCGAGCACTTTGAGCAGAGAGAGATCGCGAGTGCTTGACTCTCGAAGATGGCATATGCTCTGCATCTACATGGCCTTGGGCATCTTGAATCAGACCCTCTGGCTGACTTTTGCTGCGATTCCAGATGCAACAGCCAGAAGATATGACATTCCGGAACAGTACGTCGCGTCGTTAGCGGTGCTTTGCAATGCCGTGTATGTACCTGGCTCATGGATATGTACGGCACTCCTAAGAAGCTCTGGACTTGCCAGAGTTATCAAAGTCGCCTGCTGGCTACAGCTGCTGGGCAGCCTGATACGCTTTTTAGCCGACGCAGCCTTTCGGCGCTGGTCGGGTCCCTTCGCCTTCCTGCTTCTCTTCATCGGCCAAGGTGTTGCGGCATTGGCATCCCCACTCATCATGAACACACCTGCAGTCTTTGCGAACGCCTGGTTTGGCCGGCGTGAGCGCGAAGGGGTGCTGGCAGTGGGTGCATTGAGCCCGATCTTTGGACAAGGGTCCCGTCCTCAGACTCAGAGTCCTGGGCATCAGTCGAGCTCGGACAGTCTTAATTATGCTGTTCGTGGGATAACACCTCATCCAGCTGCTCCGTTGTGTCAGGACCCACAGCAATGTAGACCCCGAACTTGATACCAGCACCAAAAGCCTCTGCCCAGGCTTGGATCCGCCATTGCTGGCTTCGTTGTCACTGGCTACGAAGCGGACCCCCAATCCTAAACCTTGCTTTTGGTTTTGACCCTGATTCTTAAATCTTTACCTTGATCCCAAGAATCCCTAAACAAATCAACCCGAGACTTAACTCATGTGGCGACAGGAGGGCACGGAGCAGCTCTTAGCAGGCCAAGCCTCATTGAGCGCTCTCATGGCTCTATGGACCATTGGGCAGTTCGTAGATGCTCCGGGGGAGAGCTCGCAGGAAATCCGCAGCGAGACTTTCAAGGAAGGTTGGAAGTTAATGCGGAGGCTTAATTTCTGTTTGATTCTAATCATCTTCAACTGTGGCATGGCCTTGGCAGCTGCGACGCTGACTTTGTTTGGAAAGATTGCAAGCAACTGTGGCTATACCTCCACGGAAGCTGGCATTGCAAGTGGCATGTTCATGGTTGGGGGAGTCATTGGCTCACTCACGACAGGTTCGCTCCTGGGAGCAACTCGAGCTTACCGGACAATCCTGCGATGTTCGATCATTTCTGCAGTGATGTTTGGACTAGTGTTTCTTGTGATGCTTCGTCCTGGCAACTTGCGCGGGCTGTTGATCACGACAACGTTCTTCGGCACTTTCATGATGAGCGCGCTGCCGGCCTTGTTGTCAAACGCGGTGGAAGAGACGTATCCAACTCCTGCAGACATCACCACGGCGCTGCTTTTCAATTCTGCCATATTGCTCCAGGTTTTCTTTATCCCACTATCTCAAAGCGTCCTGACCAGTCAGGGAGATACCTGTGCCTCGTGGGGCTCTGCTTACAGCGTCTTTGAGATCTCTGTTGCTGGTGTCGGATGCTTACTGCCAGCCCTGCTCTACCATGGCAGGAATAACCGAATGCTAGCTGAACTGGAGGAGGAGCAGATGCACGAAGGAAGCTGAGAAGCTGAGAACGTGAGCCGTCCACAGGGGTACGGACTTTCAAAGTACCTGCCCGAGATTCCTAGATTCCGATTTCTCGTCTAGGCCCCAGGATGTCTCAGCTTAGCAGAATGAATGAATGGTATGTACAACGTGGTGATCGAAGAGTGCAATTCCATGGATAGTTCTCATTCACAATTTCGGCAAGCTCGTCGTGCTTGAGTCAAATTTAATGCTTTCACAGGGCTGACCGCTTATTGGGTGCTCGGCCCCAAACGTCACAAGCTTCTCGGGAGCTACGAAAAGAACGATCTGGATGGCCTGCAATGCGGGATGAAGAGAGCCTGAAATCAGTGGCCAGGCCGATTGTGTGCGGTTGAATTTAGGCAGCAATGGCAGCAGTGGCGGAGGCCGCAGTAGGACGGTGGCGGCAGAGGCACCCATTTTCCAGGTAACAAGTCCCTCCCTACGCTGATGATGCTGATGTTGCCATGAAGCTGATGCATGCTGAAAACATGACCTGTGGCCTTACATCATCAAGACAAGAGCAGGAATGAGAAGATGGTGTTGTCGTCGGCCCCGATGTTCAGGCCAGCATTCAAAAGCTTACTTAAGGCAGTGCTGGATGACTGTTGTCACTTGCATCTTTGGGCCTTCGCAGGTTCGGCATTTCAACGGCTCTGGAATTTCAGGCATTTCACATCCCCCATCTGCGCCCCCTGGACTTGAAGGTGCGTGGGCGCATGGTGGAAACCAAGGCAGCTCAGGGTTCAAGCTCGGACGCGAAGTTGCCACGCCGCAAGCACACGCAGGCATGTTGCCCAGACATGTCGGCAACTGCAAAACGATAGCCATAGACAGTACCGGGTGCTGCCGTACGTAGATGGTACAGATCACGTATAGATCACAGCAGGACCATCCAGGAGATTGGCCGGAAAGCCGACTTAGATGGACAGAAAGTAACAGCATTGCGTCGGATTCTCAGTGCCGGCCTTGATGGATTTGCCGGAGGACCTGCTCTGCAGTCGGAGTGTGGGGGATTCGCGCTGGTGGTGTGTCTCATCTCAAAAGTCGAGGGAAAGGAATCGCTGGCGTCTGGCTAGCGTGGTCGACACCTAAAACGTGTCAATGGTCCAGCATGCTGGCAAGCTGTTGCAGATGTGCGCCTTTCGCATAGCGATAATGCACTCTGCAAAGTTGAGAAGTAACAGCACTGCAGTTTGCGGGACTGGATCCGAAGGAATCACGAAATCGTGGCCTGGCTTTGTAAGGTATATCCATTTGTGTTTGCAGGCTCATGATGTCTCCCTGCCGGCAAGCACAACAGGCAGTTTCTGTGCACTAAGCTGGGTCCTTTGGGGCGGTTGCAGAGTTTCCCGACGTGTCAGGCTGGTTCCAACGGGAGCCGGTCTGGATCGACGACAGGCACCGTCTGCAACACAAGCGGAAATGGGAGTGCTGAATTCGCCCTTGGCCTAGCAGGCAAATGTTGCTGCACGTGGAGTGGGTCAAAACCTTGGTGCTGCAGAAATTAAGAAGTAAGACGCGCCGATATGTGCGCTCAAGTCTTTTGCAGCTAGCTGAGATTCGCTCTGTGCTGTCCATGTAGCGATGTTTGCCACTCTTATGCAAAGGCGTGCTTCCTGCTCTATGCAGCCGCTGGAATCGCCGGCGTGCTTCTGCGCCATCCCGAGTCCTCGTATTCGCGAGTCTGAGCCGCGGCATAGATATAGAGTCGTCAGCAAAGGATCCCGAAGAGACCCAGGCTGGCTGAAATGGCTTGGCGTGCGTAGGGCACAGGGAGCGCGGATAGGTGTGGCTAGAGTGGGGGGAGGTCGACCTCCGGCGCTTCGGCCACAAGACGTGCCATGCTGCCGGGAATGCCAGGGCCCACGAAACCCTTTGAGATTTGCCCGCTGCCCGCTTCCTTCGGCCTTCCGAGGAGGAGTCGGCGGCAGTTGGCACTCGGCCTTTGCATCGCGAATGCTGTGCGTTGCCGGAACCTGAGCCTCTGAAAGGCTGAAAATTCTTGGGAGTGCCTTTACGCTTGACATCAGGTTTCAGCTTGTTCTTGGAGATCGAGAACCGGGATTGTCAGCATTCGAGTCACCAATGTTGTGACCTGAAGTGCAGAAAGTGTATGAGGTGAAAGAGAGTGTGGCGGCAGTGTGCAGGAAGGACGTTTGACAGATCTGCTACAACAGCTGGGTCCGACCCAGATGCAGTCGACCCACTCAGCTTTGGCTGACGATCGCTTTGTCAAAACAAAGGTTTGATGTGCGGGTCCGCGGCTCGCTTTCAGTCTGAACCTGTGATGTTGACATGAGGTGGCTGTGGGACTTAATTTCTCTGTGTCCGACTGTGGTGTATCTGTCAGTGCTGGCCTTATTACGGAGCTTTCTGTGTCTTTGAAGGAAGCCAAGTGAAGCCTCTCAGGCTTTCTCCATAGTCGTCTCGTTTTTCGCACAGGCGCTTGCACTTCCAATAAGTAGTGGCCAGAGGACCAGCTTAAGCCAGACTGGAACCTACATGCACGTGCGGCAAGCTCCACTACGCCATCAACGTGGTTCCACTTCCGCTGTTGGACTGCCTGGTGGTCAGGACCCAACAGTCATAGTAGTTCAGCGAGTCGCTGCTCAGTCGATAAAGGGTCCCGGATTCTTCGGCAGCAGCCGGCCTCTCGTGCCATGCCTGAAAGAGACAGGCAAGCCCTGGAAACTACCCCGACCATCCGCTGCAGCTCCTTAGGTGTGCGTCAATATCGCGTGCTACTTTCTAGCCGGACCCTCGGCTGCTTCTTTTGACGGTTTGCACCGGGACTGTTACAAAAGATTTGTGGTGATGACCCAGAGTTTTGCAGAGGTGGTGGCCGTCGCTGTTTGCACGTATTTGCTGTGTGCGTCGGGCGCTCAGTCTCGAAGCATGTCTGCTAGGTCCTTGGTGCATGCATGGCACCTTCAAGGTATCACCACCTCCGAGCATATCTTTCGTGCATCATCGGCTTCCTCTACGTGCCGAGCCAAGCTGCTGCACGAGGGAGTACATGGGCCGCAGCAGCTTTCAGAACTTGGAGGTCACGCTGGCATGGTCAATGCTGTACTACGGGCTGATGGCCGCGTGCCTGATACTTCCAGTGCTTTTGCAGTCCATTTTTCTGGTCCGTTGACGCTGATGGTAGCTATTAGTAATTATAAGTAGCTGATAGCAGTCGCGGTGCCAAGAGCCATCGGCGCAATTTCAGGTGGTGACGCAGCTCGCTGAGATTTGTCGAAAAGACCCTCCCGTGCAGAGCCCTTGGTGTCGGATTATTCAAGCTCCGCAGTAAAAGCATTCGAACGCGTGCGATTGCTCTGCGGTCACGATGTTGCAGCAGTCTCTAGTAGTGCTTCTGTAGTGTGGCGATGGTTCGGGCCGGCCTTGCTCCGTCGCTGAGCATGTCCATGGCATCAAGACTGTCTGAAGCACTCTTCTCTTCGTTCCGGAAGTCGCAGTCTTCCGGGTTGCAAGCCGAAACAAGGGATGGGCAGCACCCTGCAGATTCTTCAGGAAGTCCTGCAGTTCTTGAGACTCTTGATGTTCTCCCGGAGTCGAGCGTAGCAGAGGCAAAGTCTCCTCTCGGACGCTCGGGGATCCAGGCGATCACTTGCGAAGGCGGAGCAGGAATTCGTGACGTCGAAGCATCGCCGCGTGAACCTGCTGACACATCTGCATTGCCCGTGTCTGACCCAAGCGATGTGGTAGCACCGTGCAGCAGCAGAGCTTTGTTCGAAGATCTGCGAGCAACTTCGGTGACAAAGAGGCTACGAAGCAAAACGAAGGGACCTTCGGATGCTCCGACGACTCCAAGGCGGAGCCTGCGATTGAAGGGTTTGCCTCCTGAGACACCTAGCCCGCTTCCACGACCAGTGCGAGCCTTGCGAGCCCTCGGAGCTTACAAAGGGCCCGAGCCTCCTTCCGGGAAGCGGAAACTGCCGGAGCTTCGGCAAGACTCGCCCAATCGCTGCAGCTTTGCCAGCGTCCTGGAGCAAGCACGTTCCTCTGGTCCAGGTGGGAAGCCGTCCGGGAAGAAAGGTGAACCAAAAGGAAAGAAAGCAGGGATCAAACCCCGCCGACAGACTGAGAGGCCCAACACACTCCAGCCAAGCTTGAGACAGAGAGGACTCTTGCGGGTGCCAGCACTGACTCAAATCCCTGCCATCATTTTCAAGAGCTGGAAGCCGTCACCATCAAAGAGGCCACTACCAAAGCGCTGCCGAATGCCACCACTCCAAGCATGGCGCAACGAGCGGGTCGTGTACGAGAGGACCCCGAGCTCGCAGACTCCAAGCGTGGTAGCTGTCGAGGTGGACATGACAAGGTCGGCTCAGGCTCCAAATCGGGATTTTCAGCTGCCCGCACTCCAGGCACCCCTGGAAGCCATGGAGGCCAGTGAGTTCGTGGGTATTTGCACATCCAGGTTGAGAAGCCGAGTTCTAGCACTGCCAGACCGTGGTGACGCCCTGCCCTGCACCGTCGGCATCAATGGTCCTGGCATACTGCATGTCCTTGATGGCTCCTTGAGAATTGCCAAGGACGGAGCAGCAAAGGAGACGCAGCTTAGTGCAGGATCTTTCATGTTATTGAAAGATTCCGACAAACGGCTTGTAGCGCCACCACGAACAGGTCCACGACCAAGACCAAACACAGTTGGCGTTCGTTTCCTTTGGGTGGAGGTTCGTAAGTAGACTCTAAGTAGACGATTGGAGTGGCCCGGCTTTCATGCAATATCTCGTCACAAGGCACGAAACTTTGAGGATCGGGCAGAGATCTGCGGCAATTCGGCAGTTTCGCACGAGCTGAGCAGGGCATTGTGGAAGTGGCTGCAAGTTGTGGCGTATGTGGCATCACACATCTTCACACCCCAATCATCCCGAGTCCATGTTTCTTTGAATGGATTCGTTAAGTCAGAGCCTTGCAACCACTGCTGCCATGAATCTGCTCATTGTCACGTAGGCTTCCTAGTTTGCATGCACACATCTGAGACTGGTCCATACATGTTGCGAAGTAGATTTGCATGGGGAGACCAACGCCCACGACCAGTGCATGCAGCAGACATTAATGCACAGAGAGACGCGCCCGCGGCTTGAAACGGGTTCGAGCAGTGTTTGCCGGATCATCGGCGTGAGCATGACTTCCTGAGCCGGCACAGTATGCTTTCGTGTTTCGGCAAGGCGAATGCTCATCACCAGAGTGGGCGTCGTCTCCGCAACTTGTCAGAACAAGACAACAACAAACGCGAGCAGCGGCGGTGAAGATTGGCCGAGGTTTTCTGCCCGGCACTCTTTCTGGTCAGAGCGGTCTGCCTGCTCGGTGAGAGTCCTGGCGGCTAAAGGAGCCTCGAAACGGGCACTTGGACCTGACTTCAGCTTCTGTAACTCAGGCTGGGGAAGCTCCATGGCTGCCCCGCAGACGTCTCAGAGTCGCGGCGCGTGTGAACGCCGAGAGAGCGCTGAGTCGCCTGCGCTTTCCTGCGCTTTGCTGTTTCCACAGGTCCACGGGAGTTGACCTGCTGCTTGCGCTTTGCTCTGAGTGGCTGCCAACAGGCTCTGCAGAGTCACTTGATTTGGCGCTGATGATGTTGGATGCACTGACCTGCATTGAGCCACTCTCTGTTCCGTGCCAGTTGTGGTGATAGCGTGCCTCATCCCGATGTGCCGCCGGCACGTTTCCATGATGTAGCCGCACCGATGGTCAAGTTGAGTGAGACCTGGGTTTGTACTCTGACTTGCGACGAAAGTGCCAGTTCGACCTCTGACTTCCCAGAGGACTTGACATGTGAATCATGTCTGCAGCTGCTGTTGCTTGTCTGCGCTTAATATGCTATCATGTGAGAACACCGGGCCTTTGCTGCGGAGTGATTTGAAGACCGCTGTAGACTACAAGCGGAAAGACACGCAGCAGCCCAAACCCACAAGACAGCCAGGATCTTTTGTCAGCATCTTGGGGCAAGTCTTTGGGTTAGTCTTTCCGCGTCCGCTTGCCTTCACCCTGTTTTGTTTTCGCAGCGACATACCAGAGGCCAACAATTTGTCGGCATTCGCAAAGCAGAACAGAGGTCAATCTGGATCTGTCGAACGGCAGCATGTCTGATCACACTATCTCAAGTTGTTGCCGCGTATTGACGATCTGGGCTTCCTTCCAGTGTGCAGGAGCTCACAGTTGACTCTGAGTCGGATCCGGACTCTCCGGGAACGGAGGCTGGGTAATCATGTGCAGACAGCACCACCCAGACAGTGGCAAAGTGATGGGGACTGCTACACATCACCGCACCGCGCGCAGCTTCATTTTAACCGAGTGCTTCTTTCATGTTACGCGGTTTGTCCATTTGTCCGGTCAGGGGCCAGCGCTGCACGAGCCGCTGATGGCAAGGCCACCCAAATCCGCCTTGTACTGCAAGCCGAGTTGGGAGTCCACCATGTTTATCAAGAACTGGCTTGCGACAGATGTCTTTGTGGTTGCCCCTCTTGGTTCTCAAGTTGGCTGCAATGCGGCAATAGAGCTGTGCACACCCTGATGCTTCAGGGAGTCTGGAATCGGCGACAACTGGTGCCTCCCTCGCATGCTGCCGACATGGCCATATGTGACCTGGAAGTGTAGCAGTGGTCTTGCTTCATTTCAATCCCGTTGGCATGCATGTCCAGGTCCATGTCGTCCGTGCTGTTGCTGGCTAGCTGCAGGTTTGTAGCGGAGCCTAGAGTCATGCTGTTGCATTGCAACATTAAAGACGCACTACTTGCACATGGCGATCACGCGTCGGTGAGTGTACCTTTTTGTGTACATCTGTATGTATACTGAATTGTTAGTAGCTATCATTTACATACGCACATATACACGTATATAAACGTACGTGCATAAGCACCTACATACATGCATACATGCATCCATCCATGCGTGCATGCACACATCCATACCCACAGCTACATACACATACGTACATATGTGCGGAGATACACACACGTTGAATATATATATATATATATATATATATATACACACATACACACACACACAGACGCATGTGTACATACACACGCACCTACGCATGCACATACGCGTGCAGATGTGCGCGGACAGAGACACGAAAGCACGCACACAGACGTACAAGTACAGATGCATATACCTGTACATATACATATACGGTACATATCCAGATACGCACAAATTACCAATACATATACTAGTACGAACAGTAACACTAGTACGAACATAGTTACGAGCGAACTAACTTTTTAACGAGCTACAAAGCTAACTAGTCAACTGGGCAATTATCCAACAACTAAGAATTATTTGTTCATTTATTGAACTCTCTCCCTCCCGATGTACTTGACAGGTGTGTCAATCTGTCCATGCGCGTATGTGTGTGTGTGTGTGTGCATGTACATATATACATATATATGCACATAAGTAAGTATCTACTCGCTAGCTCTGCCATGTAATCGTCATGCGCATGTAGCGCGCATTGGATGTCGCCATGGATCTCGGCCGCGGGCAGCCTAAAGCTCTCCATGTCTGGACTTGGGTGTTGCGCTTTCAACTGGGCTTAGGCCTTCGCACACTGCGCTCCAACAGAAGCTTCGCGGGCACGCGTACCCTCGCAGCACCAGCCCTGGCAGGAGCCCACCGTGTGTTCGTAGGGTCGTAGGAAGGATTTGTTCGAAGCTTTCGGCACTGACTTCATTGAACTCTCTCTGCGCCAGCTGTGCTGAGCTTGAGAGTGCAACAGTGCGCTCGTGCCTGGGCTGCTGGGCTGCGGATAACTCTCAGTCAAACCAATTAAGGTTTCCCATACTGGAGCCATAGGCCAGACAACAGAACCGCCAGCGGCGGCAGCAAAAGAAGACGAAGCACGATGACATCGAGAGCGTGTAAAGGCAAAGTCAATGCCAAGTCGGGGGGTCTTGCGACAGAATGGTCAGGGTCGAGTTCTCAAAGCACATTGAAGCACCAACCTTCCACAGGCTTCGGTGATTCTTGAGCTTTCGCCCACATGCCCAAGAATGTTGCAGGCATCCGTGTGCTGGAGCTCGCCAGTGCCCGGAACTTGGTGGAATGTATGTTGGCCTCGACAAGGTAACATACTAAGGTAGCATCCAACGGCAGACGCGGTAGCTGCTTCCAAGAGCCTGCGGTTAATTCTGCAGGTGCTTGCTGGCCCTTCTGTCGGCCAGTTCCTCGCGGAACTGGGTGCCGATGTTGTGAAGGCGGGCCGCACAAGGGCAAGAGCCCGGCCTCACATCTGACGTATTCTGACGAGGTTGAAAACCGCAAGCCCGGCTCCGAGCATACATCACTTGTAGATGGGTCCTGACATGGTGGACGAAGACTTTCTTTGTGCTTGATGCAAGGGAACTTGTCACGAAACCATTCTGTGGTGTCGACATGCAATCGCCTCCTGGATGCTGCACAGAAGCAGGACCGGTGGAGACGTGACGCGGTCGTGGCGACTGCGAGGAGACAACCCCCAACAAGCGACAAGCTACTTCTCTTGTGCCTCGGCCACTGATGAAAATGGCTTGCTTGAGTGCTGTTGCAGGATGACAGGATGGTGCTTGGTTTGTATCTCACAGCTTCGCGCTTTCACAAGGCTGCAACCTGGGAAAGCGATCCCTGGCCGTAGATGCATCCACAGACCGCGGCCGAGACCTCTGCAGGTGCCGGTTCACAGCTCGAACTGCCTCGAAGCCCCAGAACTTTGAACTGCCACAGGCGCTTGGCCATCTCGTCAGACGTTGCAGGCGGCTCAGCGCAACGCATCTTGCACTCTTTTGAGAGGGTTTTAAAGGCACACTAGGGCGCCACACCCCAAAGCGCCATGCTTGGACAACAGGACTGGAACACCTGAATTTTGTCTGAAGTTTCTACGAGAGCGAGAGACGGAAGGAGCGCAGAAAGGAGGCTCAGCCAATGCGTTTAAAGCCCTTGAGCCGAGCCTCCTGAGGGCTCCCGAGCTCGACCTCGCCGCAGCTGCAAGACTCAGTGCCGGTCGTAGCGAGGGGGGCCGCCATGACCGCGCCTGCCGGCGAGGGGAGGCAAAAGGCCAGCAGCTCCGCTGAAGCTTCGCAACGTTGCGGTCATCGACTCGCCAGGCCAACGATGAGAAGGGGTCCAAGCCTCACGGAACCACGACGAACGACGGTGTGTTCACGGGAGCGAGCGCGTGAATATGCACGACAGTGAAGATTTTGGATGAGTGCTGGTGCCCGAGGCAAGATGTGCGTTTGGCAAACATCTTGGCCGCGAAGGCAGTGTCGGACACCGTGAGGCACCGCCGTGCAGAGCTCCAGCGGCTTTTGCCTTCAGCTTGGGCAGTGCATGCTGTGCAGGACCTCGCTTGGACCTCGGGGCATGGACAAGATGATCCAGGAGCCGAAAGGCACGTAAATTGGGTGGGCGACGAAGTACACGGGGCCGAAACACGTGCATCATCTGCTACACATGTGCCTGAACCAAAACTGGCCCGACGAGTGTGCCTCCGTGGACACATTGTCCAACTGTTCTTGATCTTGATTTGCTCTGCTTTTCCACTGCGACTGCTGCTCAGGCGAGGTGCTGATCTCAAACGATGGTGCCACCATCTTGTCGCGACTTGACTGATGGCAAGAAGTCCACCAGCACTTAAGCTACGCTTGCCATTGCTAGGAAGCTGAAGCTGCAACACCCAACTGCAAAGATGATGGCCGAGCTGTCCAAAGCGCAGGAGCGAGTGTTGAGAGACTTTGAGAGTTGGAGACTCTGCAGCCGGGGTATGGAATCCTGTCTCAGGACATCGAGGCTGGCGATGGCACTACCTCCGTGGTCGTCATTGCTGGAGCTTTGCTCGGTGCAGCAGAGCGGCTGTTCGGACCTGAGTTGACGTGGACACGCAGACGAGGATGCAGAGACTGCATCGCAGTCGCAGTCAGTCCCGGAGAACTGAGGCTCAAGAAGGGAATTCATCCGCAGACTATCACCGAGGCACAGCTTGTGGATGTTGCTGTTTGGCCAAAACGTTGGCAGTTTTTGTCGGTTGTCTCTGCGAAAGCTTGCTCCTGGTCCAGGCATTTCTGCAGGCAGCCCACAAGGCATCGGGTCCAGGGAGGACTTGGGGAGGTTTTGCGTCGTCGTTTGATCCGTTCGGCAGTAGTCTTCGGGGGGTCAGATGTTCTTCAGAGCATACGGGTCTAGGATTCGGAGCTACTGATCTGAGCTGACAGGCCGAGGAGGTCCTCGATGCGGTTGCGCAGCCAGTTGCGGCTTGGAGTGCAATTGGATTCATAATGGCGGGGATGAACGCGGAGCATCGTGGAGCCCATTTGTTCAGCCCCCCTTTCCCAGGATTTGGCCGACCGCGAGCAAATTCTCCAGGCCGCCATCACCTCGCTGAATTCGAAGGCACCGTGGGCTTCACAGGGCTTCATCGCACACTGTAGGGTTGTAGGGTTGCATAGAAGGATTCGGTAGCGGCTGATTTGTTGGCGGATAAGCTGCACTGATCTACGCCATGCTTTGAAGAACTGAAGCAGCTCTTGGAGTGCAGGTTGTCTCCCAGGAGTCCGAAACCTTAGCGCCGATCGCAGTCGATGCGGTGTTGAAGGTGCCCGCAGACCGATCCGAAGCCTCAACATGGCTGGGTCTTTCTGATGTGTGCAATGGTACAGGTAACAGACCCGAAGTCAGCAAAAAACGTTGACCTCAACGACATCAGACTGGTGAAGAAGTTGCCTGGCAGCTGCCAAGTCATGTCAGTTATGCAGTGATGCTCTCTGTGCTGAGTCACTCCACTAAGTTTCCTTCTGTAGGCTGGGGGCAACCACGGACGACACCGAGTTGGTCGAAGGCCTTGTCCTTTCCCAGAAAGCGCATGGCCCTCGGATAACGAGCCTCGATGACCCCGCGCTTTGCTTGAAAGTACAGAGGTCCAGGTCTGCCGGAGGCCCCACGAGAGTGCAGGACAGGGCAGAGCAGACTGTCAGAGCACGCCTTTGACTGGCCTGCCGCAGGATGCCAAGATCGGGCTGATCCAGTTCTGCCTCTCGGCCCCAAAGACAGACATGGAGAGCAACATTCAGGCCGAGGGCATGTCATCGCATCCTAGGCAAAGTCATGATGGCAACTTCGGGTTGGAGTAAATCTCATGACATGGCACCCTTCTGGCAGGTCCGCGACTATGCGCAGATGGATCGCTTGCTGCGAGAGGAGAGAACACTGCTGGCTGAGATCTTGGCTTCCGGGGATTGCGAATTTTGATGCTGGGGCGGGCATTGGAGCCAGAAGCAGACCCGAGGCCAAGATGGTGAAGCAAGTCGCCAAAACTGGCTGCAATGTCTTGCTCGTTCAAAAGTCCATTTTGCGAGATGCCGTCACAGACCTCTCATTGGACTTTTGTGCCAAGGCGGGAAACCGGCCGAACCTGCCCAAAGCGTTGATGCCTCTTGTCCCTGCGAGGCCAAGATCATGGTTGTCAAGGACATTGAGCGAGAGGACATCGAGTTCATCTCCAAAATTTTGGGTGTAGAGGCCAGATTGATGCAGATAGGCAAAGCCAGGCTGTAGTGTTTGAGCAATGCCAAGATGACGCCCACCCGCCCGCCAGCCATTCTTCCCCGGAGAACCAGTCACAGTCTTGCAGTGTCAGAAGCCAAACTTGTGCGGATTTTCGTTAGAATTCGGTGTGATGTCATGCTGAAGGGTTTGGCTTCGCCGGCAAAGCTAGGGGGAAAGCGACCTTTAAACGAAATGCACGAACCTCATTGGCTCGACTGAAGGCTGCGGCGACGCTCGACACCTTTACACCGGACAAGCTGGCGAAGGTTCGCACCGAGCAGGAAGTCCCTCCTTGCAGTTGAGCAAAAAGGAGGATTGTCATTGCGATTCTCAAATGCAACCCCCAAGCAGGCCAACCTTGTTCACGAGGAGAATTTGGGCACAGAGCCACTTGGTGCTGTAGTTGCGCGTTCACATTGATATACTCGCAAAGAAAGCACGGATGTCATGATGCCCTCTACCCGTCATCTCTCCCGAGATCTCCATCACCTCACCAATGCTCCATCCGTTCTTCATATTGTGGCAGCTCAGGTTGGGCAGCATCGTTCGCTTCACCGGCCTGCAGACTTCCAAGGCGTGCACCGGAGCCAAGCGGTCAAAGCATTCGATGATATTCCGCATGATGTGACGTGTGATCATGGTGCTGCAGGGTGGTTGTGTGTCTGTGCTGGTCCGTGCATCCAACCAAATGCTGCTGGATGAGACAGAAAGGCTCGCGCTATCGAATCGGTGTTTTATGTAAGCACAGGTTCGGCGTAGAGCATCCTGTCTTGCTCAAGAGATATCCGCCGTGTGAAAGTCAAGATGCGCACCGGCAGATCAATCCACGATGCACTCTGCGTGGTGCGAAGTCTTGTGAAGAAGAAGGCTGGCTTCGCTTAACGTTTCCGGAAAGCGAAGAACGGCAGAACGCTCCTCGCAGCTCGCCGGGCAGGCGCTCATCGCCGGTGGAGCAGCGCCCGAGATGGAGGTGGCGCAGAAGCTGGAAGCCTGGGCCAGGCCAGGGCGATGCTGCTAGTGCCTAGCGGATTTGTGCATTCCACAAGCATTTCGCCAAAAGGACGGTGGGCGGCATCACGCAGGTTTGCATCGAGCACTATGCTGAAGCGCTAGAGCTTGCCCCGCGGCCACAGATTGCCCTCCCGGCCCCCCCCCCCCAGAACCTGCGAAACTATGGTTACAACGGAGAAGCAAAGTGCGAACACACGGCAGGAGCATGCAGAGTTGTAAGCTAAGAACATCTGAGATGAACAGGGTGTGTGTCCATCTGGCAATCGATGTGTTACAAAGTATACTGCAGCCGACTCGGGCCAATGACATTCGAGAATCCCTTCATGTTCGTTGCCTTTGTTACGGTAGTCTCGTTCTCATACACGACCGCATGGTATTGCGAGCGCGTTTACCTTGGGCGAGGCTGCGAAAGTGTCTGAAACGACTCGTGCTTCCCTTGCAATCAGCACATGTGCCGCATTGTGCACTCGCCGCCATAAACACCTGACCGTCTCGGCTGTCACTGCAGTCAAGCTCCGTAGTCTCTGCGTCAAAACCGATCTTTGCGAGTGCAAAGTCCGAGGTTCCCTACACACTTGCAGAAAATGCAGGGATGCAGCCCGTGGAGATCGTCACGCAGCTTAGAGCCGCTCACGCAAACGGTGAGAAGTTCGCCGGGATCAACGTGAAGACGCTTGGAAATAGTCAGTATGTCGATGTGAACACACAGATAAAGCGGACAAGCGGGAAGGTCGAGCAGATGCACTCTAAAAATTATACTAGGTTCAAGATTGTAGCAGGACTGCAGCAAAAGGTTCGTGCAGATGATCTTGCCTTGGTGCATCGTACGGTGATAGTGTCTGGCATCAGGAAAAGCTGCATCAGCAATATGTTCAAAGAGAATGTGGTGCAGCCGTTGCTGGTGTCGACGAGTGCCATGAACATGGCCACAGAAACTGCGCCGAGCCGAACTGCAGTGCTGCACAGATTCGACAACCGTCGATCCCTGACATCCTCCCTCCCACGACTTGCAGTGCGATCTCCAGGTGCGTATGATCCTGAAGATCGACGACATTGTCCTCACCCGCTGAGACGGAGCAGATAAGATTTCGAACTAAGAGACATCACGAAGAGCATTCATTGACATTGTGCTGGGCTCAGTGTTTTACAGAATGTTTCAGACGTCTAGCGAGCATTGCTCGAATGGATAAGCATGACAACCCTCCAGGATTCGGTCTTGCAAGCTAGACAAGCTGAGTAATACTCCAGCGTATTGCACCTTGTCACTGCCTACAAAATGGGGCATCGACGAGAAGAAAAAAGCAAGCACAGTGGTTTCGGGTAGCTCGTCTTGGCATCGTGCTTCGTTGTTAGCCTCGCTAGGCCCCTCGAGGCCTCGGGGCACTTGGTTTCTCATGGTATCCAGAGGGAAGTGGGCCGACATGTGGAGATGAAGAGGTAGTTTGCACCTGTGTGTCTGCTGAACGTCGGACGCTGAATTTCCAAAGGGCAGACGAGGTCATCTTCTTTGCTTTCTGAGTGTCGTGTCCACTAGGTCATTGCCTCCTACAAGCCCGGGGATGATGTCAAGCTCGGTCTGGACGCTGCGCGGCTGCGTGCCAAGGCCGGTCTGGCCACATGTGCCTAGTTTCCGCTCGAGCTGTTTCACGTGCACAAACCATAGCTGAGGCGCCGCGTCTCATCTATGACGCTCGGCATCATCACCGAGTGCGCATGCTACAAGCTACTGTAGGCAACGACAAATGTGAGGATGAAAATTCATCGCATGCCATCCCCGCACTTTGCGTCCCACTGTGCCGTTTCGTTTGGATTCTTGGTCAGCTTTCCTGTAATACTTAACATGGCCCTGGCAGGCCCAGATAACCGGCTATGGTTTGGACGATCCACGCACTGGCTACGATGCTGTCATCCAGGTCCTGAAAGGCTGCACAGTGGCCTGGCTGAGTTCCGCAGTACCGACTTGGCCCCTGCAAGGCAGAGTCAGGCTTCACCTTCATGAATGGCGCTGCTGCACACCAGGTCACTTGGCTATGAGGCTATCGAGGCTTTGGGAGGCTCTGCTTCAAGTGCGCAGTATCAAGCTCACGGGCTAGACGACTGCGGCGCTTCGCTGCGAACATTCCGTAAAGTTCGTCGGCTCGCATGGAAGGGGGTGTTATGCTGCCGGACTGCTTGGTTGCAACAACTGGACGGATGGGACCCGGATAAGATAGACAGAACCAAGTTGGCTCAGCAATGCAGTGGCAAGCTGGACAAACCTGCAGCGCGGTGTTTCTTAAGCTTGCAGGAAAGGGAACGTGAAATGGGCTGTATCTTGGGCTGGGCTGGCCAGCACTGTGAGTATCTTGTAAGAGCATGTGCGCCAGCACGTGGTCCTTCAGCTTGCCGGGTGTATTTCGGGTGGAGCTTGCTCCATAGAATGTGGGGTGGTCCATGGGCATGTCACTGACTGTCGATAACGATTCTGGAAAACAAGATGATGTAAGCGAGAGCACTTGCAAATAAATAGATGTTGGCATGCTGAACCAGGCTGAAACACTTGATCTGAAAGGATGGTTGTATGATAGTAACGCGAGTAAAGTTGATGCAGCAGTGCGAGCAGCATGTCCATGTGTCATGTTGGCCCAAGCCCAACTAACTCGGATGCGTTGGTATGTGCATTGATGCTTGTAAGGATTACGCATGCCACAATTTCAGATCCGCAAATGAAACAACATGGTGTATCACAGGTAAATACTGTGCAGTTCTGAGATGTTGCCTTCTTCACCAGTCCCTGTCACGAAAATGTGTGGAGCACTGAGGGAGGAAGTCCCACGAAGATGCCTGTGGCTCTCGTGGATTTGCTGGCAGCGCATCAGCTCAAGGAGGTGGATTCCTGAACTCCAGCGCATCAGTTCGCTGTTCGGCTCCGAACACATGCGGATGCAATGCGATCGATGCCCTGCGTAAGGCTCATTGTGGGCAAAGCTTGATTGTTGTTTCTACCGCGAGCGCAGGCTATATTGCTAGCACTGTTCAATCGAGAACGCTTTGGACAAGGCCGCTTGTCTGCTTCGCGGCTCGTTGTGCAGTTCCTGGCCTGCGCGCGAAAACCGATCTGTCTTTAGACAGCTTGTCCCTTAGTGTCAAGGTGCGCATGTGCACGTCTCTCTGATGGCAGCGGCAGTTGCCTCTTTGGCCAACCAGGCCAGAGACTGGGCTCCGCCTCATGTGCAGTGGGATGCTTTGTACCTGCTGGCATTCGAGGCCACGGGCTACTTGATTACCGGCGAGGTGCCGCAAAGGATGGGTTCAGCACCGTGGTTCAATTTTTGCGTTTCTTCTCGGGCCGTGGAGGGGTGAATGTCGCACATGTATGTTGTATGTGTCTGATCTACGCTCAGGATCATCCGTCAATCTGCCCTTATGGGACAGCTTTCTCCGACCAGGATGAAGCTTTCCGGCTGGGGGAGGGAGCATGTCAGAACGAGACCATGGCAGGACGGTGAAGCGCTGGTCCTCGCAGACTTGAACTCAGCTGGCCTGATCTAGCTATTGGATACTCAGCGAGGCTTGATTCTGACCATCTTTTCCCATCGCAGGGTTGATTGCGCTGCTTAGGTTGGAACTGACGCGCAATTCACCGCCTTGTGCGAAGTCGCTGCCATAGCCTGCTAGAGACTGCTTTGGCCTGCTATAATCGGTGCATTCCAGCGCATACAGCCTGCAGAGTCTACATCCACAAGCGCGTCATTGGTTGCTTTACCATGCTTTACCTGCGCAGTCTGGAGCACCATGAATTCCTTCGGCTTGCCAACCCTGCTTCCTCAGTGCTCTTCTGCACGTCAGTGTTGGGGTTAGGTTCTGCGACGTCCAGATCTTGCAACCGACCCACGCTACCTTCGCAATGTGGACCGGGTGATCAATCGGAAGGCAAACCGCCTTACAGCATCAGAGAATGGAGGAGGCTGTCGAATCCGATCGTGACTAGATGTGACTAGTATCTAATGGCAGTGCCTCGAAGCTAGATGCATCAAAGAAGGAGGCGTAGGTACCACTGCTTGCATGGTGATTGGTTCCGGTTCAAAGTTGAGTGAAGTCAGATCTGGTCCCGTCAGGAGCTCCATGCTGCCCTCGGGGAGACTGTTGCCAGATGGCGCCGTGATGAGCTGCTCGCTGCCCTGAGCGAAAGGAAGGCGCTCTGGATACACTTACAGCCTTACTCTAATACACTACTAATTGCCCCGCTTGACCCACTTGCCCCGCTTGCAGCCCCCAGCCCTGTAGTCCCCGTGGGCGGCCGGCTTCCTTCCGCAAAATCAACCCCTCCTTCACGGCTCCCAAGCGTGTTGCATTGAGTCTGAGGAGAGCCCTGCCTTCGGACCCTGAGGCGGATAAGAATCCCTTCCAGGAAGAAGGTTCCAAATAGAAAGTAGCCGCCTGCCCCAGACGCCCATAGATCCGTACAGGATATCCCATTTCCCATAGACCCGTCGATCCTACTCCAGGCTTACATGCCTGCACTCCGCGCCGCCATGGCGGCACTTCTTGCATTGCTGCGCTGGCCGAACTTTGTCAATGGCGATGACACCGGCCAGAGCACGGAAGGCAAGTTCGGGATACCAAGCTTCAACGGTGAACCCCACCCGGCTTGCAGAGTGCACCTTCAGGGTGAAAACCCGCATCGCGAAGCAGAAGGCCTTGAGCAAGGAGGAGCAGGAGAAGCTTGGCCCTCTCGCTTTTCGCTTGGTGGAAAGCTTTTCGGGTGGCACAGGCTCTGGAGATGACCGAGCTTGCTAATGTGAATGGTGCCGAGGCTTTGCTCGAGCTGCTTGTGAAAACGCTGCGGCCCAAGAGGCTTCAGCAGGCCCAACAGCTGTGACACATGGAATGATGTCGAGGCAGGCAGGCGAGCCCATATGAGCCCATGGCGTACAGATGCCTGGTGGACTGTTCAAGTGAGATGAAGCTCCCCGTCCTGGTGCTTGCTGAGCATGTTTCAACATCGGCCGGCATATCGGCTGACCACCAGCTGCTTGTGAGAACGGCACTGAAAGGGACTTGACGTGCGACAAGGTCAGACGAACTGGTGAACCAGCATGGGCGCTTGCATGAGAGAGAAAAGAGATCACCGCCAAAAGCTGGACACGGGAAGCACGGCCAGCAGCGAGCGTGATGGCGGTCTGAATGACCCTTTCTGCGAGAGGTCCCCTTTCTCGCAAAGTAGGATTCCTGCTCCAGGTCAGCTGCGTGCTCTGCAATGTCCTGGTCATCAAGGTCCACGCCGTCCTCTGTGAAGTAGTCGACGCGCTCCTCGGCTATGCCGAAGTCACCGTCATAGCCCTCAGCCTCTTCACCGGCCTCACCGTGGTCCTCGGCAAGCTCTTCCTCGGTGTGCTCGGCCATGTAGCCTGCAGGTCGCCAGCTCCTCGTGCCCCGGCACTTTGCTGTGTCAGGGTTGGTGTCTTTGGAAGAAAAACTGGGTTGTGCTTTGGGCCGTTTAAAGATTTTCTTGGAGATTGTTGTGATGCTTAGCTTATGACCAGCAGCACCTTTTTGCAAGCACCGAAGCTCCACATATTGAAACCGTAAACCCCTAAACCCATAAACTCTCCAAACCCTAAACCCATAAACTCTCCAAACCCTAAACCCATAAACTCTCCGAAGAGCTTCCCTCGCCTCCTGGCTATCTTCGTCATCCAGCTGCGTGTCATGGAGGCTGGGTGGGTTAGGCTTTAGTAGTTCTTAGTCTTTGGGTTTAGAGTAAACGCCCTCAGTGGTGGTTAGGCGCCCTTAGTGGCGGTTAGGCGCCCTTAGTGGCGGTTAGGCGCCCTCAGTGGCGGTTAGGGGTATAGGCTTTAGTTAGGATTGGGGCATGGGGTTTAGTTTGGATTTTTGGGCCAGGGTCTCGTTGTTTGGGTTTTGTGGGGTTTCGTGAATCTTGCCAAGACTGGAAAGTTTACCCAGGATGTAGAGTTGAGGCTCATAGCATAAAGCTTTCCCGGAATTAGGGTATGGTTGGTTTCAGATCATATTATGTTATCCTTGGACCTAAACTTAACCATCAAGAGGGGCAGCTTTGAGGCCGAGCTTGCAGGGTTACAGTTATTCTTCAGGCTAAGTTTAGGGATGGTTTAGGGTATGTCGGGCTTTTGCTTCAAGGCTTCGGCGTAAGTGGGCTTCTGGGGTTTTATAGGGGGCCATATTACACGATATACGGGCTATTTGAGGTAGCATAAGGACCAAATTAAGAGGCCACCTACCTATCTGAAAAAGTCTCCATTGTAGTTCCCTTTTATATATTGGTTAACGACTGTCATAGTTAGCATCCTGGTGAAACCCAAACTACGACCCCAGGCCCAAGCCCTAAACCCCAACCTCATGCATCCAGCCTGCAAACGCCCCTGCTGGGGACTGAAACCCCTCCAAACCCTAAGCCCCAACCTCTCAACCCCTAATAACCCCGAAGCCATAAACCGTCTCTCAGACCCTGGCCACCTCTCGCCAGCGGCGACGGCCCTTCCAGCACCAAGCAATGGCTTGGTGCTCAGTTGAAGGGTTCGGGATGTAGGGTTCAGTTTAGGGTTTGGTGTTTAGGGTTTATATTAGGGGTTTTTTCCTCCCACCTAGCAAGGACGAAGCCCGCGTTCTATTCGGGGTTTAGACTTTAGGGGTTTAGGGTTTAGCGTTTAGCGGTTTAGGGTCGGAGCGGCGTGACCACTCTTCCTGGCTTCTAGTTTTACCATAGTATCC